GAAGGTATGTTTATAATCATTCTTTGTTCCTGTGAAAAACTGGCATATTACCAACTTTGCACCTGCAAGGAACATTTTGTCCTGTAATGTCAATCTACTTGTACTAAAACGTCGAACGTGAACGTTTTTGCAGAACCTAAGATACCTACCTTTGGCATCATTATTATTTTTTTTAGTTTATCTTAACTTTGAGACTCAGGTTGCTTTCGGATTCAATATAACTCACCAGTCACTTTGCAACGTGTAAAATTTTCTTCAAACCATGTAACACTGGGGCATATACAGGATTTTATGAAAGGTGGGGGTGTGAGGATGCGGGTAAGTCTGGAGGCATATTTCCCCAGAACATTTGGAAAGAGTAGATTGTGTCAGGAGCCTTGTGTAAAATAAGGCATTTACTACATTTTCCTCTGGTACTAGCAAAAGAGTATAAAAGTAACCGACGAGAAATTCAGGTTCTTAATGCCCGCCAGTTCAGTAGTCACGAAGCAGATAGGTGAAGGTGAATGCCCGCCAGTTAAAATGGGGGAGATGACGTCATATACAAGCTAAGAATACTGTCGTCAGTTTAAAAAGTAAAATTTCAAGTTTTAATTAGTAATAAATTCCATGTAAAGTGTAAAAAAGCAGCTTTTTGCAATAAACTAGCTCTAACTGTACAATACTTACTACTACAATAAGACATGTTTTTTTTTCGTAGAATACCGAGATGCATTCTATATGTTTGATAGAGATGGGAACGGTTTTATTACTACGAAGGAGCTGAACTCCATCATGAAAAGTTTGGGGTTTAACCCGACTGAAGAAGACTTACAACAGATGATTTTCACCGTGGATTATGATGGTGAGGACAACATTACTTTTTACCTGCAAATCAGAAAACATGGTGTACTGCATCTCTTGCCGTCAATGCCCCCTCTTATACATCGGAGAGACCGGTCGAAGTCTACGCGAACGTTTTGGCGAACACCTTCGCAGCGTTCAAAAGAGGACTCCTAGTTTCCCTGTGGCCGAGCATTTCAATTCTGCCGGCCACACTCTTTCTGACATCATGATAAGGGGGTTGAGGATGTGCACCGGGACAAGCCTCCGCAGAAAACAGCAAGAAATGGAAATCATTTTTAGGCTCGGTACTACACAGCCACAAGGCCTAAATAATGCTTTCCATTTCCTATAAACTGCGCGCGCATGGTGCTACCTCTGCGCGCGCCCATGCCAAGTTTTCACAATTTAAGCCGCGCATACCAATAACGGTATTTACACAGAAGAAGGGCTATGCCCGAAACGTTTGTGACTATTCACTATATGACACTTTTTCTCTATTTTTAGTCTTTTTTTTACGTTTTATTAGTTATTTTTGATTTGAAGTATTCATTCAAGTGTCTCGCATCATCCGGGAGAACAACTTATGTTCAACCAACAACAATTACTTTTTAAGGGCTTATTATTAACCTGGCCGTCCAGTGGGAGGCGCGGTGTCCTAATGCAGATCGTACAAAATTTGTGTTATGTACAAAATTACCTTGAAATTGAATAAGGATGGAGAAGATTAAGATGAATTGCAAATGACGAGCTTGTAAAATTTAGGCTAAATATTTCAAGATGCGCAAACCATAATGACGTAGATCTTTAAAAAAAACAAGCTATATTTGATTGCGGTATTTTTTTATTATTATCATTTTTAACTCGTGAATGCGAAAGCAATGAACGGGTTATAGCATTTGGTGGACAAATCTCACTCGCTCGGTCGATGGGCTGTAAAATTTGATCGCACTATCAATTTATGCATATTAATATATTCATTCACGTGGTAGCTTATACAATACAATACAATACAATACTTTATTTAACCACGTATCACACAGGAGCTAAAGAAGCTCGTTAAAACGTGAACGTGAAATTATAAATAAGTAAAATGGTAAAAATTATTACATACATTAAATATAAAATATTAAAAACCTATTCTATGTCGTATCTTCCATGATAATATATTATAAAATTACTTTGACATTGACGTTTGTTTTCTAACCAGATGATGGGAGGCTAAACTTTGAGGAGTATATACAACTTATGGAACAACAAAAAAAGCCCGATGATACTTTAGATGGCATCATTCAAGCTTTTCGTGTTTTCGACGCGGACAACAAAGGATACATCGAGTCAGCTGAGTTAAGAGAGCTGCTGGAAAGCATGGATTGGGGGAAAGTCAATGCAGACGACGTAAAAGATCTGATAAAAAGCAATAACCTACATCAGGACAGAAGGATTAGTATGGAAGGTACGAAGCCTAACAGATTGTCCAGTTAACAAATCGACGACATTTTTTCTTGGTATACACTCTTTTAGCATATCCCTCGAGTTTGCCAATAGTCAGCCACTGGCAGTGGCTGACTATTGGCAAACTCGCAATCTGATTGGCTACACAGGCACCTACTATCGATCGATAGACGGCTCTCGTAGCGCGCGCACAGTTTTTCGCATTACAGCCAAAAAATATTAAACAAAACCGTCAATAAATCAGTTTTATCGATATTCGACATTTAATAGATTAGCCACTGGGTTACGCTAAAACAATTAGACGGCTCGCTCTCGGTTTCTATCGACTTTGGCAGCCGATAGAAACCTCGGGCTTGCCGTCTAATTGTTAGATAGACCATAGAGATGACGTCATAAAATGTTCGAAACTCAAGTGGAACCACGAGCCACAGGCGAGTGGTTTCACTGCCAAGTTTTGGACATTTTTTCTATATGTAGTTTATAAGAGTGTAGACCATAATGTCGTCGATTTGTCTTTTACAATAACAGGGGAAAATATGAGCGGAATTGGCTTTTTTTTTCGTTGAGAAACGTGCGCGCGACAGAGCGAAAGAATACGCCATCACTTGCGTTGCGTTGCGTATGACGTCATTTTAGAGGTCTATACTCTCATCGACCATAGCTCTTGACCAATGAGCGCGCGAACAATTTGACAGTTCTTGTAGAGTTACATTTTTTCGATTCCATGATGAAGCCTGCATAACACACAAAATCAAAGGGAAAAATAGTGCTCTTCTTCTTGCTTTTCACTTATTGTAACAACCACCCCACCTCCCACCAATCCACCACCTACCCAATGCTATCCCCCTGCAAAAAATCTGATCTTCCTATTCCCTATTCATGCCAATAGAATGTATACAATTCAATTCATGTCCAACTTCACGTAATCTACTCCTTCCAAATTCCTATGTCAAACCCTTTACCCCCCCCCCCCCCACCCATCACTTCTTAAAATTTATTAATATTTTTCTCTAATACTAATAGTTACACTGCATCATTTTACAGAATTCGCGTTCCTTGTGGAGCCTGCAGGTATGCCAGAAATTGAAGAAGAAAATGAAGGAGGAGATGATGAATAACTGCATGGCTGACTGGTGAAAGACAGAGAGGATAATTCAGTCTTCAATTTTATTACTGTCGACGTATCATCATCATCAACATCATCGCCGTCATCATCATCATCATCATCATCATCGTCATCATCATCATCATCATCATCATCATCATCGTCGTCGTCGTCGTCATCATCATCATCATCATCATCGTCACCATCATCATCGTTGTCGTTGTCGTCGTCGTCGTCATCGTCGTCATCATCATCATCATCAATGTCGTTGTCGCCACCATCGTCATCGTTATCGTTTTAACTTTGATTTCATGTGAAAATATAGATAGATAACTTCATGTTGTTCTGATTTTTTAAACTCCCTTTCCCAAAAGAGTTTAAATAACAATTGCCGCAATTAGTATTACAAAAAGAAAACAAGAAGGATGCTGGTTCATGAGTTGCGATTTTCACTATGACATCATTCATTAACTGTCTATTAAAGTAGCTACGTTACGATGTACAATTCAAAATGACAATTGGACAAAAGTAGTAGTAATAGTAATAGTTTGCTAAAGTTGATAAATAATAATAATAATAACAATAATAACAAAGCAAAAAGGAACAAAGATAGTTAAGACTGGGGTAGATTCAGACGGATTGTGATCGTTAGGCCAAACCTTTCAAGATACCCGGGGGGGGGGGGGGGGGGGGGGGGGGGTACTTGACCCATGTTTGGGTATAGGGGTGCCGCTGAGGGTTTGAAACCCTGACCCTGTTTAGGGCAAAAAAAAACTAAAATACCCACCCTGTGTAGGGCAACACCCTCTATTTTAGGACCCTGTTTAGGGCAAACGACAAAATACACACTCTCTTGTTCTAAACAAACTAACCATCTGTCAACATGCACTTATGTTATAATGCTAATTGGGTGGAATTAAAGGATACCGACAACAATAGCATTTATCTTGTCTTGAAAATGATGTGATGTTGACTGATGAGCTGCTAAAGACCGGCAAACGTCTCCGTGCAACAATACCCGGAACAATACCCTGTTTAGGACAGGTTTATTTTAGACACCCTGTTTAGGGCAGAATCGCATGAAATTATATGCCCTGTTCAGGGCAGAGAGGCCAAAAACCATACCCTGTCCAGCGGCAAGTCCCCGTGTAGGGAGTACCCCCCGGGCAAGATACATGACGAAGCCCCTTTAAACTTTTAAATTGATTCCCCAAACTCACTAAAAAAAAGATAACTGTTAGTAACTCACAAATAGTTTAAGGTTGGTTTAGCTTAAAAGCCCGTGAATAAAATAATGACATTTGTATAGCTAGATTAATCACTAATAATAAGAGTAGCTTTGAAAATAATTTAAGAAAGAAACCAAATGAATGTAAGAAGAAAATAACCCTAAAAGGTAGCAGAATCTCGTTTTGTGGGTGTGGTTCAAATTCATTTTCACCCCTAAGAGGTACCAATTCTAAGACAAAACTAGTACCTGCCATATTTTTTTCGGCTTAATACCCTAAAGGGTACTGAAATAACTCTAACCGGGGTCATTTTAGATTTCAAAACCCCCAAGCGGTACCAAACCACGAATTTTAACCTCTAAAAGGTACGATGATCACCCCCGTCACTTTTATATGGAAGTCCCCCCCGGGATTTGAACCCCATGACCTCCGCGTTACTGATGCGATGCTCTACCAAACTGAGCTAGAGTACATTGGGATCAAATTAATCATATTTCAGCTTCAAGGGTTACCGGAGATGGAAATGCTTTTGTTAATGTGTATTGTGATAATGAGAATCATCAAGACAGTATCCATCTACTAGTTGATATTTTTTTTTTCCGTCTTGACGGAAAACTCATCTGACGGGTTTCTCGTCCTAGTGTGAATTCGAGACGAAGGGAGACGAGTCTAACTACTTGTCAATTTCACTTTGAAGCTGAGGCGCGGTTACCTTTTCTTATTTCAAAGACGAGTTATCCGTCACAGACGCGAAACTCTTCTTAGAAATCCGTCTAAAGCGACGGAAAAGTTAAGACGGGTAAAATCAGACGAGTTACCCGTCTAAAATTATAACCGTCCCGTTTTCATGCTAGGACGGGAAACTCGTCTGAGACGGATAACCCGTCTCAGACGAGTTTCTCGTCTCTAGTGTGAAAACGGCCAATATGATAGAACTCCGGCGCTATTAAACTGGTACCAACGGCTTCGTAGCTCAAATAGCTAAATTAAAGAACAACAACACATAATATTTGCAAAGTATGTGGCTGTGAAAACCCACATTTTTTCTGGTAAAAAGACAAAGCTGCAGTCGAGCCAAGCTGGTCCATACTGCCGGAGCTTATCCAGTTTCTGCAGCATAAAGCCGACTAGGAGTATTGCTACTCCACCTGGATGAGATGCTAGCCTATTCCAGGTTACCCCCTCCCCCCAGCATTTTGTCACCGGTACCCATTTATACTCCTGGGTGGAGAGAGGCGCTGTGAGAGTAGAAGTGTATTTCCCAGGAACACAACACAATGACCTCGGCCAGCGCTCGATCTGGAGTCCAACGCGCTAACCATTATGCCACTGCGTCTCCCAGATTGTTTTTCTGAGCTTCGTAATATTTATATAAGTGAGATTACTACTTTCATTTTCTATGTTGTTGAAGCTGGATATTGTTTTTATTGTTTATAATATCAATACCTCGAAAATAAGTGATAAGAAACGATGACGTATGTTGTCCAACAAAAACTTTTAATAAACTGTGTCAGCCTTAGCTATATTAATTTTGGCAAAATGCTGCATAAAATATTTTTTTTAGAGTTTAGCTTGTATTTGTGTTCTCCTACGTATATAGGACATATTGGGTCAGCAGATTGTCAAAATTGATCTAAATATTTGTTTAGTTTATGCTAACACTTTGAATATGATTGGAAAATATTACGAATATTTGTATACTATTGAAAGGAACACTTACCTTTATTAACTCTTCTTTTTTTAATGAGCCGTGATACAGTATAGTGGGTAGCTTTATTTGCGAGTTAGTCATTTGAGGCAGCGCATTGTCAGAAACACCAAATATTTGTTTACTTTATGCTAATACCGTAAAACCTCCCTGTGCGACCACTTCTCGTAAACGACCATGCAACTCCTGTAAGCAATGACTTTTCCAAAATACCAAAATTTCCCCAGTCAAATCACTGTGTTCGGAACCTCTCGTAAGTGACCACCTCTCGTCAGCGACGGCGACCACTTCTGGGCCATTGGTTTGAAATTTTTTATTGTTTTTAACCTCCGGTAATCGACCATTTCACATGATATGATCTCACTACTTGTGCAAATTGGGTAACGAAAGACCGTACAACCCTGAAATGACGATACAATTTATTGTTCTTACATTACCAGCACTTTTATTTCTGATAGCCTATGCTCGCTATATACTAGGCAACTTAAGCCTCTGAAACTACTTCAGGCTATGACATAAAATTTAGATCCCCTGTAGTTTGACCTCTCTTAAGCGACCATCTCCCATCTCCCCTTAGGCTTGACATTTTGGGTGGTCGCTTACGAGGGGTTCGACTGTACTTGCAATCAATGATGAAAAAATGGTGACGAGCGTTTTCTTAAGATAAAATATAAACTCTTCAAGTTTTTTTCTTGATGAACTGTGTGTTGCCTCAAAACTGGCAGTGAGGTATTTATTTGCAAACTTGAAATTAAGGCCCACCACATTGTCAGAATCACCGAAATATTTGTTTGCTTTATGCTAATATTTGTAAACAATGACGCAAACAGGTGATGCATGTTTGGCTAAGTTAGAAAGATAAACCATTCTTTTCTCATTGAACTGTCACATAATGAAACAAGGAAAATCGCGACTCAAGTGAGACAAGTATACAGCTGTTTCGAGAAAGGTATATCTTGCGCCGTACAACAATTACTTGAAAGGTTGTTACAAGCAAAATCTCGTAATTCAATTTTCCATACGTTTCTTTAAAATTTCCATTTGTCCACATCTTAGACGAATCGAGCGACAGAACTTTCCACCAAACCAATATGTCGTTTAACTTGACGTTGAACGCCATAAAAAAGATGATGATATATATTATACAGAACAGATGATACAGAATGATGTGATAGAATATTGGGTTGATTTATTTGCAAGCTAAGAATTCAGTCACCACTGTCACAATAACCCAAATATTTATTTACTTTATGCTAACATTAATGAGAAATTGACGCATGTTTTCCTATTAAAGGTAGAAAAATAAGCGCATTTTTTATATTTTTCATCAAAACTACGTCATAGAGTAGTGGGTAGATGTGCTCAGTTCCTAACGGGTGAAAATTAAACCTTAAGTTTATTAAATCTGCAAATGTGCTGATAAACTTTTTTTACAGAATAGGCATAATGCACTATTCTCTTGATTGGAAAAACTTTAATGACATATTTTGGACATAATTATTTACCTTTCAGTTCAGTGTATGCACAATTCTGCACATATAAATCTGCTGATTAGCGGATCAGTTTTTTAGTTCAGTCCACTAAACGCAGGGACATTGCAAGAAAGGAGATCAAACTACGCCACCCAGCGCTCGCACTCATACAGTCTAAGAAATCATTCAATTAGAAGGTGCAACCGTATATCCAGGTGGGAGATTAGTTTATTAACCATTTCACTCCCAAGAGTGCTAAGTTCAAACCTGAGGGAAAAATCTTGAATTTCATATTGCAACAAAAAGAAACAGTACCACATGAAAGTCAGTGTACTGCTAATAGCTTTCATTCGAATGGTCACACACTAGGGTTTCATCCACAGACTTAAAAGTTAGACCCACCTTGTATAGCATAATTAACAGTACCACATGAAAGTACTGCTCAATAGCTTTCATTTGAATGGTCACATACTAGGGTTTCATCCACATACTCTAAAATCACAACCACATTGATTGACGCAAGGTTTAACTCTGGAAGTGAAAGGGTTAATTGAGTTTCATAGAACAATGATCCTTCCGAATTTTTTATTTCCAAGTGTTTGATATCTCAATAGGCCATTTCCGAGTTGCCTTTTGCCTCTGTTTCAAAACGAGTCCTAGTACACAACCTGTTTTTATGGAAATGAGTTTGATTTGAAAGATAAGTAAAACTCCGGTCTGTTGAAATGCATAGTTCACTTATTATTTATTATCTCGATTCAACTTCATTTTATGAAGAAAATGTACATATCCTTACAGCAAAATTTTGCGCGTCATTAAAAAACATGGCGGCTTTTTTGTGGCTATGCTCACCGGAGAGGTAAATGGTTGTTATCTTATTTCGCATATTTTAATTCCAGCAATCATCTCGTTCTATGCAATCAGTATAGACCAATTTTCATGTCAGAAAACTAAATAATCACTGGAACACGTCTTTTGTTGTTGATATTGTAAGGGATTATGAGGTATTTTAGTCGATCATATCTCTTTCGCGGGAATGGTGACCTATTATTTTTATTTTATATTTGAAAAATTACATAAATGATCAATCAGGGAAAGTTTCAGAAAATTTTTATGTCAACGTCGACTTTTTTTAAGTGGCTTAATGGCAACTCACTTTAGTTGTATGATGGATTCTTCTTTGTCCTATTTTTTGAAATATCTAATATCATTTTACTTGGGAAAAGTTTTTATGTTTTTCTTCTTTACACTATTCCTCACAGACGAGCAGGTCAAAGAGAAGTTAGGAATTGTTCACTTCTGGCTTCTCGAACTCATTAATAATTCATCAAGTTAAAACAAAGGAAATTATAACCGTGACGGTGGTTTGGATATCTTTAAATTAGCATAGATTTTTTACGATTTTATTTCTCCGTTTACTCCTTAGTTTTAGTTTCGATTGAGAAGATATATCAAACACTTGAGAAAGTGTTTCATCGGATATCCAAACACTCGAATTTCGTCAAAAATACTCCGCTGCGCGTCGTATTTTCGTGTTTGGAAATGTGATGAAACGGCTACCTCTTGTGTATATTACGTGAAATGTATGAAAAACTGAGCCAATGAATTACAAATATAGCAAAAAAAGGAAATGTAGGATAAATTATCTTTAGCGAATCGCACACATCGTGTAAACTCCAGATTTCGTTATAAAGACTGCCCCGACGTCCCCTGCGGTTGTCGTCAGAGAAGTTGCTAAGCAACTCAGTGAGGGATCCTTATATGGCGCCATGCTCTCCGGCCACGTGACAAATTTCAGAGAACTTGACGTGTGTATGATTCTCCAAGACGACAACTGATTTTGTTTTGAGCTTTGTGGACTGATAATTTGTCGATGTTCTGTATTTATAAATTCTTACAGAAGGGACTTTTCTATTTGATTTAAGGTATCTTTTCGGATATGGCCGAAGACAGTTTTTCCAGAGATGGTTTCATCACCGCATTTACCTTCTCAATGGTCACAAATTTATTTGGCAATATCCTTGTGTGTCTGGTTGTACTGGTATTTCGAGACATGCGTATTCCAATGAATTATCTTCTGGTGAACCTCGCTGTCAGCGATATGATGGTCGCTGTCTTCATGTCTCCGAGATTCGTCTTCAGCCAAACCCTGAATCACCCAAGAGGAACACTTGGCGACTACCTCTGCAAGATCCTAACCGGTGATTCTTTCACTTGGACAGGAGCCCTAGCTTCGGATTTCACTCTTGTCTGCATAGCTGTTGAGCGATATCTAGCCATCAATTATCCATAC